CAGCCGTGCGACACGCGCAGCTGGCGCGAGATGACGCAGGGCCGCACGCCCGCCGCCGCCATCTCCACGATCTTGAGGCGGATGTGGTTCGGCAGCGGCCGGCCGTTGATGAACACGCCGCCCAGCTGGTTGACGCGGCCCTGACCTGCAACCGACAACACGAGGGTGTAAGCGGGCGTCAACCGAAATAGAAAATGGTGTTATGTGTTCAGGCGGGAGCGTTAAAGGGAAGTTTCAATGATACATCCATGGCTCAAAACGCTACCAACGTTCCTTAACCTTAAAAGTTCCTTAACCTCAAAAGTACTTTAACCTTAAAAGTTCCTTAACTTTAAAACTTGCGTCAAATAGCTCAGTTCAAATTAAAATCAACGCACCAAACAATGTGGTATTTTACGAATAAGAAGAACAGGAGGAATCCCGGCCGACGTCTGCTCCCGGACCATAACAAAGCCATGACCAAGCGCACGGTTTCTCGCGTATCTCCGCTAAAACTGAAAAGAAGTCATAACTGTTCTATATCATTTTAAAGCTGAGAACCTCAAAAATCTGGTACACGAGAAACCGTGTCGTTAGGCACCAGTGACCTGCGACTTGTTATGGTCCAAAAGCCGGGATTCCTTCTGTTCTTCTTATTCGTAAAATACCTCATTCCGATCGCTGAGCACACATTTTTTTAAAAGGGCCGATTGCACTTTTGGCAATAACGTCTCTATACACGTCCCACACGACCCCACAAAGGGGCCGGCTTTTCAACGATCTTGTGCTTAATGGCGTGGAAAGCGCTGCTGGCTGCGGAGCACTTGCGCCTTTGCACCCGCCGGTCACACACTGCGCCGGTGGTCCACTTTATCAAAGCAAAATGTTTGCATTGGACTTGCGGCTGAGCCGTCGGCACCCGAGGGGGTGGCGGGGACGCTACCCAGGGCGGGCCGAGGGGCTGGAAGGACGGGGGAGGTGGGAAGGGGGGGGGGGGCACGGTGACACACTGCAGTCCACTGCTCACCGAATGGGTCCCCCGCCATGACCACGCACACCACACCGGCGCGCGCGCACGGGAGCAACGCGTTTGTTGTTATTTGCGAAGGGGATTACACTCATTCGACGACGCAATAAATGGGGGCTGCTCCATGCATTGCCCCGGGGACGACAAAGGGCCGGGTCAGGGACACGTCAGCGTCCACGGGGGAGGCCGTCATCGCTCTGCCGGTGATGGACGACGTACGGGGAGAGCACGGGGGGGCACAGGCACGGCACAGCGACTCCATGAGACTGCTCGCGACGTGTTTTTTTTTCTCTTGAGGTAAAAACAAACCTGAAACTCTTGAATAGAGCAGCCAGGATACTGTTTTCTCTGTTTTCACTTCCAGAGGCCCCACAGCAGCAACATCGGCGGTGGCGGCGGGCGAGCAGCGCGGCAAGTGCCGAGAGGAGGCAGACCCGAATTACTGACGGTAAATTGATCTGGATTGCCCTGCTGGCCGCTGCTGACCGGCCGCGCCGCGCCACGTCTCGCCTCGCCTCCCGCCTCGCACCGGCCGCCAGGGCATTCCTCGTCGTGGAGGGTCCTGCGGGAGGAGCAGCAGAGAGTGGGGGGGGGGGGGGGGGGGGGGGGGGGGGGGGGGGGGGGGGGGGGGGGGGGGGGGGGGGGCAAGCCGTGAGTGAGGGGTAGGCTCGCGGGGTGAGCTGCGCCAGCCCCGTTCAAGACCCACAGCTTGTTGTACCACTGGCACCCCTTCCTTGCAATCCCTTATCAAAGAGAACTCTCGCTGCTGCATTGGCCAAACTGCTTTACTGCAGCCACCACTAGAACGTCGCGTGAGCGATTCCTGACACCAAGGTGGCGTTAAAACTGCTGCTACCAACACTAAGTCCACCACCACGGCAGCTGCTGGCGCTCGCCCGACGGCCGCCTCCCCTGGCGGTGGTCCAGCCTCTCCTCTCGTACCCTTTTTGTTGTTACAACATAATTCCCACCAGATTGAGTGGTTTGGTTCGGAGCGGCAGCAGCGGCGCGGACTCTGACGCTGGCACGGCGTAGCGTTGCGTCGAGTGAGTTGGCGATCTGCGGCTGTTGCCTTCACTACTCGCATCTCAGGATGTGCTTGGGGCGCGGGAGTGTCGTGTCAGCTTTGGGGATTTATCTGCCTTTTAGCTCTGCAACTGCAGCTTGCAGAAACTGCCCGGCAGGGATGAGCAGGACTCCCTGCTCCCTGCTCCCTAGACAGACTGGAGCCGGGAGCCGAACCGGGAGCCCTATGACGCATTCGGTGGGGACGAGGAGTGGAGACGTACGGAGGGGAGGGCGGGGAGGCTCGAGAGGGTCGACACATTCGGGGCATCAGAAGGGACGGCGACGCCCCTCATCCGCACAGCGCATTCATCCGATCAACTGCATCCACACACGTGCAATCGCCGAATGTGGCCGATTACCTCCCCTCCCCCGAGCCCTCCCCCCTCATCCCCTCTTCCTCTACTTCTGTTTTTGGCAGTGTACCTTCGCGGAGGTCCTCTCGTCCGCCTGGCCGACCTGAAAAGGAGGTTGACTCCACGCCTTTTAGTACTGCTTTAGGCTGCCTTTCTTTGGCCGCGCGGGGCGGGGCGGGGCGGACGTATTCTGCATTCTGCATTCAACAATCAGATCGATCTATCACTTTTGAGACGTAATGGAGCGGTGTGCTGTTGACCGCTGCGGCGGTCGGCTCGGCCGGGACGCACAAAGCCAGCTGGACCCGGGGCGGCGGCGCTACCGAGCCCACAGGGCTCCACAGGGCCAGCCCCGGCTGACCGCTGGTCACTTTGTGCGAGCTGCGCGGCTCCGCTGTGCGTTTAGCGGAACGCTCTGCGCCGCCCGGCTGCACGGCTGCTCATCTCATTATTGCACGCGCAATTGGCCGCAATAACGCATTGCTATCCCATCACGGTGGGCTTTGTTGGGGAATGATGAAGGACCGCTGGGCGGGCTGGGCTGCCGGATTCTTCATCGGTTTGGTGCTGTTCTGCCTGCCGTTACCTCTCCTCTGGCCTGGGGTTACCTAGGCCGGCGTTAGGTAAGCCTGCAATAAGGGTCCGAACGGCGGCGCGAGGCGAGCGCCACGCCCCGACCAGCGAACCGTCAATGAAGTCCACACCTCGACGATGAAAATATGTATGCGGTGCTCACAGCCCGGCTCAGCCGAGGTCGGTCTGCCCCTCGGGCGCAAACAGCTGCTCGCAGGCCGGGCGGGGCTGCGGCCGGGACCAGGGCTTCTCATCGCCTTCCAGGGCTCGTGCGCGCAACATAGTTTGCGGCAGCGCCGCTGACGCCGACGACGACGGTTTTCGCGGTAAAGTGAGGACATGAACTGAAGATAATGTAACCATGCAATAACGCCTATGTGGACAGTAAACAGCAATCTTATAAAGGGGAAGCCCCTCGCGTGCAACACACTTCGCGTTCGCGTTGGCGGGGTCGACATGGCTGTGCCATCGAGCTGGTCGCGAGTGGTAAAGGTGCGGGCGGGGTGGGGCGGGCGAGGTGTGGCGGGGTGGGGCATACCCGGGGAGCGGCGGGGCGTGGCGGCGCCCTTTGAGAGCGAAACACTTGCATACTCACTCCCACACGCTGCACACCGCAAGCCGCAGGCCATTATATGCCCACCCGACTCGCCCGCGCGGACCCACCCGGACCCACCCCGGCGGGCTCGGCCAGCCAAACAGCGTGCGAGGGACTTTTGCACGCCGACGATGATGAAGCAGCTGCAAACTTTTTATTTTGCTCGCAAAACATACGATATGTTATGTATGGGCACGCGCAAAATTTTCATAACAAATTAAACGCCGCAGCCGCCGCGGCTTCTCTGCTACACTGTAACAGTTGCGCCGCTCCCGTCTTAGAGGGGAGCCGTTTGAAAACAAACAGAGAGGAGTTAGGACCCGACACTCTCCCGGAGCGGCAGGGCCGGCAGGGCGGCGAGAGCTTCGGGCGGTACCCCTGTCATTACTCCCCTCCCCACTCTCACGCCCACCGGCTCCACACACACATACACACACACACACAGTGGACCGCCAGACTGCAGACTGGATTTAGAGGAATTTTCTTGATTTTGTAAGTTCTCATCAAAGAAAACAATAACAAATAACTACTGCTTCAGCTTTTTTAGACCGTCCCCAAAAGACTGTCTCTACCAGAGGGCAAAGTCC